CTCCCCAAGTAGGATTCGAACCTACGACCAGTCGGTTAACAGCCGACCGCTCTACCACTGAGCTATTGAGGAAGAAAAGGAGATTCAAATGAATCGAGTTAAATTCCTGTTCTCAATGCAAGACCACTATAGACGGGGTTAATTCCCGTCGTTCACCCATAACCCGAATTGCTGTTTCGTTTCGATAAATTCTATAAATAAGAAAAGTCCAATAAACTTCATTTCATATAAAACCTATTTTGAATTCCATATAGTAGAATAGTAAAAAAATCATAGTATAAGATGTGAAGACAAATCTACTAGTTTATTGTTTGATAATATCAAAAAAATTTTTATTTTAATTAAGGAGCTTTTTATGTTTATAGGTTCTGATTTATTCTTGAAGGTACTCAATTCAGTCGTTGTAGTCGGACTTTATTATGGATTTCTTACCACATTTTCAATAAGGTCCTCTTATTTATTCTTTGTGCGAACTCTGGTTCTGGAAAAAGAAACAAATACAAATAATAAGGTAGCAGCAACCACTGGTTTTATTATGGGACAGCTCATGAGATTCGTATCCATCTATTATGCGCCCTTTTATCTAGCTTTGGGTAGACCTCATACAATAACTGTCCTTGCTTTACCTTATCTTTTGATTCAGCTTTTCTTGAACACTGAAAAAAAAATTTTTGCTTATGGATCTAATAACCAAAATTCGATCCGTGAGCTAGAGAATATCTTTGTATTCCTCAATCATCTTATTTTTCAGTTGCTTAACACTTGCATTTTACCAAGTTCAACGTTAGCCCGATTAGTAAGCATTTATCTGTTTCGCTGTAATAATAAGATGTTGTTTGTAACAAGCAGTTTGTTTGCTTGGGGAATGGGACAAATTTTAGTCATAAATTGCTTGGAATTTTTAGCAGTCTGGATACAGAAAAATAATGTTATTAGGTCGATCATTCGAAAGTACCTAGTGAGAAATTCTATATTTTTTATTTTAGTAAATTATAGTTTTGGAACTCTAGTATGTATTCTAAGTATTCAGTCTTTAGGCAGAACACCCTTACCTATTCCTACTCAGAAATTTAGTGAGGTCTCAAAAATAGAACAAAGGGAAAAGGAAAGGTTGCAAAGGGAGGAAGAAAAAGACGTAGAAAAAAAAAAGAAATCCGCTGAAAAAGATCCTTCCCTTTTTTCCGAAGAAAAAGGTATTTTGGAAAAAGAATTGGACTTGAAGGTAAATGAACCAGACTTGGAAGGGTCTGATTCCGAATTGGAAATCCTTGAAAAAAATGAAAATAAAGAACATATTGTGGCTCTTCTTTTTGATTATAAAAGATGGACTCGCCCATTTCGTTACATAAAAAATAATAGACTTGAACAAGCTGTAAGAAACGAAATGGCACAATATTTCTTTGACATACATAAAAGTGATGGAAAAGATAGAATATCTTTTACCCATCCGATAAGTTTATCAACGTTTTTTCAAATAATCAAAACAAAGATACCCCTTTTGTCACTAGAAAAAGATATTTCTAATACATTGGACAATTTTTGGGTTTCTAGAAACAAACAAAAATTAAATTCTATAAAAATTGATTTGCTAAATCGAATTAAAAATCTTGACAAACCAGTAGCAGTTCCAATAATCGAAATTGAAACAAACAAAACGCGATTATGTATACACAATGATGAGACTAGAAAAGAATACTTACCAGAAAAGTATGATCCCTTGTTAAATGGGCCTTCCCGCGGAAGAATAAAAAAAGATATCACGTCGATAAACGATACTTCGATCAAAAAGTTGAGAGAGAAGGTTATGCTAAATAGACTTCATGCTTTATTGTTGATGTCTACTTTTGAAAAAAAGGAAAAAAAACCATTACAAGTTGGTGAGTTCTCAACTTTATCATCAAGTTTCAATTTAACGGATTCAGAACAACTAACAAAATTTTTAGTAAATGCAATTGAGACAGACGATAAAAAATCTTCTGCAATAGAAAAAATAGGTAAAGAAGAAATTGGTAAAAAAGTCCCCCGATGGTCATACAAATTAATAACTGAATTGGAACAAATATCGTATTTTACAAATCCACCAGATGATCATGATATTCGTTCAAGAAAAGGGATCAGTGTATTAATTTTTGAAGAACCTAAGACTCTCAAAGATAAGACTACAAACAAAGATAAGAATACAAAAGATACAAATATTCAAGCTATAAAATCCGACGATAATGAGAAAGATAAAAATATTAAAAAGAAAAAGGAAGATGAGGATAATAAGCTTTTTTTATTACGATATCCGCACCAATCTGATTTTCGCCAAGGCTTAATAAAAGACTCTATGCGAACTCAAAGACGTAAAATAGTTATTGAGGGACTTTTTAAAGCAAATGCGCATTCCCCTCTTTTTTTTGACAGGATGAGGAAAAAAACCTTTTTTTCTCTACCATACCTGGCTCAACTGAAACGGCTTTTTAGAAAATGGTCATCCATAAAAGAGTTTGGGATTTTAGAATCTACAGAGGAAAAAAAAATAATAATAAAAAGAGAAACCAAAAAGGAAAAAAAACGACGAGAGGAAATAGAACGGTTAGAGATAGGGGAAGCCTGGGAGACTTTTCCATATACCCAAATAATAAGAGGTTTTTTATTAATAACCCAATCAATTCTCAGAAAAAAGATTCTATTACCTTCATTCATAATCGGTAAAAATATCGGGCGTATGCTACTATTTCAAACTCCTGAATGGTCTGAAGATTTAAAGGGATGGAATAGAGAAACGCATGTGAAGTGTACTTATAATGGTATTCCGTTAGCTGACAAAAAATTTCCGGAAAATTGGTTGACAGAAGGTATTCAAATCAAAATTTTATTTCCTTTCTGTCTCAAACCTTGGCACGAATATAAATCGCTAAATTCTCGTGATGACTTTTGTTTTTTAACAGTTTGGGGAAGGGAAACAGAACACCCTTTTGGTCATCCACGACAAAAACCTTCGTTTTTTAAGCCTGTTTTTAAGGAACTTTACAAATTTGTAAAAGTAAAAATTAAATTTTTAAAAAAGTTTTCAAAAAAAAACACAAGTTCAAAAGAAACAAGAACAATACACCCGAGTGTAATAAAAAATGAAAAAGATGATCTAATAAATAACCAGATAATGAATCAACCCTTGAGTAAAATTGAAAAAATTACAGATTGGAAAAATTATTCACCGATAGACAAAATGCAGGCTATCACTCATAGGACAAGTACAATTAAAAAAAAACTAGAAAGAATTACGGAAGATAAGAAAAGGGTCACTCTAGAACTTGATATGAACCCTTACAAAAAAAGTTCGAGATTAGCCTTGTCAAAAAATTTTTGTCAAATGTTGAAAAAAAAAAAAAAATAGATTAATATATAAATTTAATTATTTTATAAAATTATTTATTCAAAGAATATCTAATTGTATTTTTTTATATACTATATCTATTTGCCAAATGACTCAAAAAGTCTTTGTGGAATCAACAAAAATGAACTCTCTTTCAAATTCAAATATAAAAACGCATAATAATAAGCTTTATAAGGAAAATTCAGAGAGTTTTGGTGATTTATCCAACTTGTCACAAGCATATGTATTGTACAAAATATCAGAAAGGGGTTTTTTTGAACGTACGTAATTTCATATCTGTTCTTCAACAAAATGGAACATCTTTCTTGATTAAAAAGAAAATAAAAGACTCATTTCATACACAAGGAATACTTCCATCTGAAGGAATAAAAAAACAACTTAAGCGGCCTAGAACGAGTCAATGGAAATTTTGGTTAAAAGGGAATTCTCACTACGATTTATCTCCTAATTTCTGGTCTGCCTTAAGATCACAAAAACAAAAATGGAGAAATAGGGCGAATCGCTATCGTAGGTCTAAACAAAAATATTTAGACAAAAGGACTTCCGGTAAAAAATTAAAATTAAATACTTACAGGAAACAAAAGGATGCTAACTCAGTCTTGAATAAAAAAACAAAAGATAATTTAAAAAAATGCTATCGATATGATCTTTTAGCATATCAATACATTCAGTATGAAAAAAATAGTGGAACCCCTCCAGGAGCTAAACGGGAAGCAATTTCTTATCATTACAAGATGTCACAAAACAACTTGTTTGCGATAACGAAAAATATTCCTATCACTAGTTTCAGAGGAAAAATAGAAAGGTTAAATATTCCATATCCAAAAAAAGATGTCGATAGAAAATATTTGAATTGGAAAAATATTGATTTTTCTCTTAAAAAAAAAAGCGAATATTGAGTCCTGGATCACGGGGTAATTATAACAATACTCAAAATACTCCAATTTTCACTTACAATTATCAATTAATTGATAAAATGGAAGAAATTTTGAAAATTGAGCAAATTTTTAAAAACGAAAAAGATCCTTTTGCTCTTTTGATTCAGAAAAATACCGAAATGAATCGACTCCATTCTAGAAATTCTTTATTGGATTGGATGGGACTGAATGAAGAAATACTCGACCGTCCATTAACGGCTGAGGAACTTTTGGTTTTCCCAGAATTTGTGTGGTTTGTTAATTTATATAAACTGAAACCATGGATTATACCAAGCGAATCACTTATTTCAAATTTGAATCTTAATGAAATGACAAGTCAAAAGACCGGTAAAACTCAGAAAGATAAAAAAGATAAAACTGAGAGTAAAAAAAAAGATAAAGCCGAGGGTCAAACCAAAAGTGAACCTGAGGGTCAAACCAAAGGTGAAACTCAGGGTGAAACCAAAGGTAAACCTGAAGGTGAAACCAAAGGTAAACCTGAAGGTGAAACCAAAGGTAAACCTGAAGGTGAAACCAAAGGCGAAACTGAAGGTGAAACTGAAGGTGAAAAGAAAAGTCAAACTGAGATAGAACTAGAGTTATTCATGAAAAACTATTTATTTTTTTCAATTTAGAGAGGATTTTACTTTAAATCAAGGCCTTTTCCAAGATCTCCAAATCTATTGTCTCTTGCTTAGAATGAT